AGTAGAGCGTGTCCTCTGGATCACCTACATTATTCGTTGCAGACATTTGGGTTTTATGAACTTCTGAGATACTGCTGCCAAAGACGAAACAGGTTGCACGGTTGTGTTGGAAACCCAGGTGCTTTGCAGTGTTCAGAGATTCTGGCTTGTCCAGGGTGCTTATACATCATTTTATGCTGAATGATGGGTGTTGGTTAAAACACGGTTATGTATTTCATGTTTCCCATCTATATTCTTAGATGATCATAAGCCTCTCAGGTATTTTTCCTCATTTCTCACCCACACTTGTAGCTAATTTATTAGTTAATCTTTGCCGTTAAATGGCATAAATTTTCTCATAGTATAAAAAATTAGCTCTAGCTGGCTTAGTCGCCAGAGCATGTGACGCTTGATCTCATGGTTATAAGTTCAAGCCCCACGTTGGGTGTAAAGATTACTAAAAAAATAAGTAAATAAACAAAATAATAATAATAATAATAATATAGTAGCTCAGTCAATTAAGTGTCCAACTTCGGCTCAGCTCATGATCTCATGGTCCAGGAGTTCAAGCCCCACGTCAGGCTCTGTGCTGCCACCCCAGAGCCTGGTGCTGCTTCAGATTCTGGGTCTCTCCCTCTCTGCCCATTCCATTCTCATGCTCTGTCTCTATCAATAAATAAACATTTAAAAAATTTAATAATAATATAAAAATGAATTCATTATGTGTGAGTGTGGTGAGCTGGTTCTTTTTTTTTTTTTTAATGTTTTATTTATTTCTGAGAGAGAGAGAGACAGCGTGAGCAGGGGAGGGTCAGAGAGAGAGAGTCACAGAATCTGAAGCAGGCTCCAGGCTCTGAGCTAGCTGTCAGCACAGAGCCTGACACGGGGCTCGAACCCATGAACCGCGAGATCCTGACCTGAGCCTAATTCGGACGCCTAACCGACTGAGCCACCCAGGCGCCCCGAGCTGGTTCTTCTTGAGCTAAATTGGGACTACAGTCCAGGACTGTCTTTGGACAGATATTCCGGGGTTGGGGTCCTGTCTTAAATACTGAGTGAACAACACTCTTTCCTGCTATACTCATTTTCTTCATTTAATATGAATGCTAAAAGCAATGATTTTTAAAAAATTTAAGAATGTACACCACATGTTCATTGTAAGTAAACTAGGAAATAAAAAAAAAAAATTAAAGCACTTAATATCTTACTACCTAGAGATAGCCAGTTACAGATTGCATATGTATATCCTTCTGGTCTTTGAGCCTCTGGTCTTTGTGCCATCTTAACTAAGATTGGATTATTCTGGTTACTTCTTGAGGAAATTTTGTGAGAGTTCAGTCCATCACAAATTGCATTGAACTTTTAGATAGTCCAAGTGGTTCTTTTTCCTTATTGCAACTCCATTTGATCTCAAAAATCTTCAAAATGGTAGGAGTATCTCCTGTATCTGTGTATTCATCTCAAACAAAATATAAAGGTAAATGGTTAAGTAAAATCATCTTTTTAAACATTCAAATGAATACCTCTAACACATCCTGCATCCCAGAGACTCCTGCCCACCAGTCAGACATAAAGTAAAATATCCATTGTTGTTTGAATATGTAAATCTTTAAAGGTAATTCTTGTTTGTCTTTAAAATACATATTTCTGTCATTTTATTGATGACAGATATGTTTTATTGTGTTACCTTGGTTCAGGTATATTAACTCGTTATGAAAATATTTTTTAAGCAATACTTAATGCTCAAGATTTGATGGAATAGGATGTTAGCCATGTAGTGGTTTGTTTGAGAGAATAATGCTGCTCAACAGATTTCCTAAAGAATGGAAAAATGGGGAGTAAGAAAGCTAGGAGCTTGATAATAGGGAGAAAAAGAACTTTTACTTGGTGATTGTTGGCTGAATAATAGGGCATTTGAAGACTTATTAAGGGACTGCTCATATTTTTTTTTCCTCCTAGGATTTTTTTTAAATCACTATGTCAGTTGACATGGAAACCATACTGTAGTTTAACATCTTCCTAAAATCTAAATTGTTGGAAAAGTTTATGTGATTAAAGTCTTTTCCTTGTATCTGCTTAACTTTTTTAAAGCAGATATTTTTTAAAAATACACTCTTTTAGAGCAGTTTTAGGTTCACAGCAAAATTGAGCAAAGTGTAGAGTTCCTAGTTACCCCCCCATCCCCCCACCCCCCCCACCCCCCGTCCCTGACACACAGTCTTCCACACCTGCATGGTGCATTTGTTACAATTTGAACCTTCAGTGACACATCATTACCACCCAAAGTCCACAGCTTACATTAGGGTTCACTCTTGGTGTTGTACATTCCATGGGTTTTGACGGAAGTATAATGACATGTATTTGCCGTGGTAGTACAGAGAGTTGTTTCACTCTGCTAAACATCCTCTCCCTCCAATCCCTGGCAACCACTGAACTTTTTACTGTCTCCAGAGTTTTTGCCTTTACCAGAATGTCATATGGTTAGAATCATACTGTATATAATCTTTGTAGATTGGCTTCTGTCACTTAACTTTAAGTTTCTTCCACATCTTTTCATGGTTTGATAGCTCATTTCTTTTTCTTTTATAAACTTTAAAAAAATTTATATTGAATTTATGTGAACTAAAAAAAGGACAGCTCACCCATTCCTCCTCCTGCCTTGACACCCTCCCCCCACCCTTTGCAGCCACCAATCTGTTCTTTGTATCTATCAGCTTAATGGGTTTTTCTGTTTTTACCTTTTTTAGATCCCACACACAGACAGATCATACAGTATTTGTCTTTCTGTGTCTGACTTATTTCACTTTACATATTGTCTCTGAAGTCCATCCATGTTGTTGCATATGGCAAGATTTCATTCTTCTTTATGGCTGAATAATATCTTCCTGGGTGTGTGTGTGTGTATGTGTGTGTGTGTACCACAATTTCTTTACGCATTCATTCAACCAATGGACACTTGGGTTGTATCCATATTTTGGCTGTTGTAAATGATGCTTTAGTAAATACAGAAGTGCATATATCTTTTTTAATTAGTGTTCTTATTTTCTTTGAATAACCAGTAAGATAATTACTAGATCATGTGGTAATTCTGTTTTTCATTTTTTGAGGAAACTCCATACTGTTTTCCATAGTGATTGCACCAATTTCCATTCCAACCATGTACAAGGTTTCCTTTTCTTCACATCCTCACCAGCCATTGTGATTTCTATTCTAATTCACATACTAACAGATGTGAGATGATATCAGATTGTGGTTTTGATTTGCATTTCCCTGATAATTAGTGAGGTTGAGCATCATTTCAATATCAGTTTGTGTTGGTCATCAGTGTGTCTTCTTTAGAAAATGTCTATTCAGATTTTTAAATCAGATTTTGCAACTGAGTTGAGTTCTTTATATATTTTCATATTGGCCCCTTATCAGATATATGCTTTACAATTATTTTCTCCTTTTTCATTTTGTTGATGCTTTCCTTTTAGTTTGATATTTTCTTGTTTATTTTTGCTTTGGTTGCTTTTGCTTTTTGTGTCATATTCAAAAATATCATTGTCAAGGAGCTGACCACTTTTGTTTTCTTCTAGGAGTTTTATGCTTTTAGGTCTTATTTTCACGTCATTAATCCATTTTGAATTAATTTTTGTGTATGGTATAAGACAAAGGTCCAATTTCATTCTTTTGTATATGCCTGTCCAGTTTTCCTAGCATCATTTCTTGAAGAGAATGTCCTTTCCCCATGGTATAGTCTTGCCTCCTTTGTCATAAATTAATTAACCATATATGCATGGGTTTATTTTGGGACCCTCTGTTCTGTCCCGTCCATCTATATGTTTGTTTTTATGTCAGTATACTGTTTTAATTACTATAGCTTTGGAAGCTTCTTCCATGTCTTTTCATAGTCTGATGGCTCTTTTCTTTTTAGTGCTGAATAATAATCCATTGTCCTGATGTACCACAGTTTATCCATTCACCTACTGAAGAACGTCTTGGTTCCTCCCAAATTTGGGCAATTATGAATAAGACTTCTTTAAACATCTGTGTGCTGGTTTGTTTCTTTCTTTCTTTCTTTCTTTCTTTCTTTCTTTCTTTTTTTTTTCTTTCAAATTTTAGTTAACATACAGTACAATATTGGTTTCCAGAATAGAATTCAGTGATTCATCACCCACATACAACACCCAGTTCTCATCACAAGTGCCCTCCTTAATATCCATCACCCATTCAGTCCATCTCCCACCCACCCCTCTCCATCAACGCTCAGTTTGTTCTCCATTATTAAGAGTCTCTTGTGGTTTGTTTCCCTTTCTCCTCCTTTTCTTCCTCCATCCCATATGTTTATCTGTTTTGTCTCTCTTTTTTTTTTTTGTCTGTTTCTTAAATTCCACATGACTGAAATCATGTGATATTTGTCTTTCTCTGATTGATTTCCTCCACCTATGTGGTTGCAGATGGCAAGATCTCATTCTTTCTGATGACGGAGTAATATTCCTGTGTTTGTGTGTAGGTACCACATCGTCTTTATCCATTCACCACTTGATGGACATTTGGGCTCTCTCCATAGTTTGGCTATTTTTAATAATGCTACTATAAAACATCAGGTGCATGTACCCCTTTGAATCTGTATTTTTGTATCTTTTGGGTAAATATCTAATAGTATGATTGCTCGATCATAGGGTCGTTCTATTTTTAACTTTTTGAGGAACCTCTAATATCCATAAAACAACTTACTAGAGTTTTTATTGGGATTGCACTGAATCTGTTGATTTAATCTATTCTCCTATAGCTCAAGTTGGAAAGTACTGACATCTTGACAATATTGAGTCTTCCTATCCATGTACATGGGACGTCTGTTTATTTAATTCTTCTTTGATTTTATCATCAGTTTGATAGTTTTACTCATATAGATCTTGTACATATTTTGTTAGTTTATAGGTAAGCATTTCATTTTGGGAGTGGGATGTTAATGTAAGTGGTAATCTTTTAATATCAAATTCCATTTGTTCATTACTTGTATCTGCTTAACTTTTTAGGTGATTAATGGATGGCTGGGAATTGACGTATATATATACATTCAGAAATGTTTTGCCACCTGAGACCTGTGAGAAGGTAAGCTGTGTGGTCCAATCTGTAAATAGTGTGGGTAGGGAAATATGTTACGCATTTGGATAATTTTAATTTATTGTTATTTTTCAAATTCTAAAATTATGTTATGAAGGAGGGCTGAAACAAAAAAAAAAGAAGAAGGAAAGTTCATATGAACATCCAGATCCTCCAAAAGTTCATTCAGGGCAGAAGCAAAAAAAAAAAAAAAATCCTATGTTTCAGAATAGTTCAGTGTGAAAATTTTAAGAGAAAAAAAGATAAAGATTGTCCTTAGCATAGTTTTTGATGTGTTGCTCTCAAGTCTATGCTATCATATGGAAAACCACTTTAAATTGTATAGTAAGGTCATTTGATTACTGTATTTGCTATTAATGATATATAATCTAAATCCTACTTCAAAAAAGGATTTGGGGCACCTGGGTGGCTCAGTCACTTAAGTGTCCAACTTCATCTCAGGTCATGATCTCACGATTCGTGGATTCGAGCCCCAGGTCAGACTCTCTGCTGAATGCTTGCTCAGAGCCTGGAGCATGCTTTGGATTCTCTGTCTCCTCTCTCTGCCCCTCCCTGCTCACTCTCTGTCTTACTCCCTCTCTCAAAAATAAATAAATGTTAAAAAAAATTTTTTTAAAGATTTAAGGAGTTCAATTATATGAATTTAATTGACATTTTATAATAGACTTAAATAGTATAATTGAAAGAGATCAGAAGCCCTATAGGGAAAAAGAAAATTATATTAAAAAGTAGAACTGACTAGGGGCCCCTGGGTATCTCAGTTGGTTAAGCATCCAACTTCAGCTCAGGTCATGATCTCGTAGTCCTTGAGTTTGAGTCCCACGTTGGGCTCCATGCTGACAGCTCAGAACCTGGAGCCTGTTTCGGATTCTGTGTCTCCCTCTCTCTCTGCTCCTCCCCTGCTCTCGCTCTCTCTGTCTCTCTCTGTTTCACTCTCTCAAAAATAAATAAACATTTTAAAAAATTTAAAAGATTAAAAACAATAATGCTTGTGCCAGACCCTGGCTGTGGCGGCCATAAGATACCACTGAGCTCCCTGGGCTCTCCAGGTCCACCAAAGGATTCGCCCCAGAGCCACACTTCCCGGGCTGTCTGTGACCAGGCAGAGCAGGACTTTGTATTCCTGGCCTGCCTGACCTTCCTGGAGCCGTACTGCAGCCTGCCCTCCTGCCCTGCCCTGCCCACCCCCACAGGTGTCAGACCTGAATCGTGGTCTGAAAGTTCTCCCTACCCTCTCCTCCCGTTGCCCGTACTTCTCCCGCACATCTAAGCGTGTCTTGGCTTCCGCTTTTTAGCAGATGCCAGCTAACATACCTAACAACAGCAAGTATTCATGTAAAACGTGTTTACAGTGCACGATAGTGAGGAGGACTGGTGTGGGTGGAGGAAGAGAACAAACAGAAACGTCACTTACGCTATGGTCTTCCAAGTATGCCGGGCACGCAGTTTCCGTTTTAAGAGTTTAGAAGGAGAGACTGTTTATAGCGAGGGTGCTAACGGGAAGTATCTGGGGGAAATGGGCGTCTTGCCTTCTAACACTTAGTACTTACACAGTAATTGTCTTGTGAGTGAGTACTGTGTGGGGAGATGGAACTAAGCACAGAGAGTGTGTGTCGGTTGTAGAAACCATGCAGAAGAAAGGGAAGGAGAAAGGTCACTGAGGGCTGACCTGAGGGTGTCTGAAGGAGTGGTAGGAGGTCACGTTGGAAAGACAGATTGGAAGGGTTACAAAGGACTTGCGGTACGAGACTAGGATTGGAGTTGATTCAGCAGCAGTTGAAACACCAGCAAAAGTGGGGAATCCAGTGGTAGTGGGATGTCAGGAAAACGGACCTGTGTGCGCCGTGGTAGGGGTAAGACTGGGAGGCAGGTGGACTGTGAAGGTGTGCCGTCCAGCCGGGGGGTGACAAATGGGGACGGAGAGAGTGGGAGGAAGGAGTGGCTTCCAGGGACACTGTAAAGTGAGAAGAAATAACTGACTCCCAGACCACCCAAAAGCAGGGTGGGTGTGGGAAGTGCTGGGCAGAGCTGCAGCTGTGGGTTTGCGCTTGGGCAGCACTGAGAGCAGTGGTTCCCCAGTGACAGAAATAAGACAATCCTGGATTCAGCTGCTTCCTTGAGTTCTGTATCCAGGCTGAGATTAGAAGGAAAACAGAGACCTCTACTCCTTTTTTTACGCACAAAATTTTACAGGCCGATAGGATAGCTAAGTGTGTGTCAAACACTTGGAAATGAGAACTGAAGTGGGGGATAAGCGGAGCCGTCACTAATGTTTACTTACGCTGCCTCACTCTGAGGACCTGGGTACCTGCTTTACTGTTTCCTTTATTGTTCAGGCCCCTGTCGTAGCCCTTCCTACCCAAGCCTACGTGTACTGACGTTGTAAAAGGGTCAAATACGTGCAAAAAACAAAACCAGACCAAAGGTAATCTGAAAATATGTTGGTGGTCTCCAGATTGTTACAAAAAATCTCCGTAAATGATCCTGTAATCTCTCTTTTTAAAAACATAAGGGGCGCCTGGGTGGCTTAGTCGGTTAAGCGTCCGACTTTCGCTTAGGTCATGATCTCGCGGTTCATGGGTTCGAGCCCCACGTCGGGCTCTGTGCTGACTGCCAGCTCAGAGCCTGGAGCCTATTTCAGAGTCTGTGTCTTGCTCTCTCTCTGACCCTCCCCTGCTCACTCTGTCTCTCTCTCTCTCTCTCTCCTAGAAATAAATAGAAATATTTTTTACAAAAACATAAACCGGGGTGCCTGGGTGTCTCAGTCAGTTAAGCGTCCGACTTCAGCTCAGGTCATGATCTCATGGTTCATGGGTTCAAGCCCCACATCTAGCTCTGTGCTGACAACTAGCTTAGAGCCTGGAGCCTGTTCGGATTCTGTGTCTCCCTCTCTTTCTGCCCCTCCCCTGTTCACTCTGTCTCTCTCTCTCTCTCAGAAATAAATAAAACATTTTTTAAAAAATGTTTAAAAAAATATAAAACCTTTGCATAGATTCAGTCATGTATGAGATCCACTCATGCTCAACTATGTATGAAGTAATGCATTATGACAAAAATGCGCCTAATAATTTAGATTCCTTTATAGACCTGTTATAGAATGGAAAAGGGAAAATTATATAACATTCAAAAATAGATGTTATGGGATTTCTTCCCCAAAACTGCAAATAATTTCATTTGTATTTAAAACTGCACTTAAAAATACACTCCTAGGTGAGTTAGGCCAGAATCTAAGAATGAGAATGTTAAGCTCTCCACCTAGAGTAATTTTAGCATGCTAGCAATGAGGAAGTGAACTAAGGGACATCTTGTATCACTTTTTAAGCATTATAATTTTCAAAATGTTTTTCACTGTAAAGATTGTATTATTGAATATTGAGATTTTTTTTGATCTGAAGAAAAAAATGTTATAGAAAATTGTCATCATGTGTTGTAATGACATTTAGTATTTCAAAATAGGCTTTGAGAGAACATTTTATTATTATTAATTAATATTTTTCATTTGCACGAGATTTAAAATCACTGTTTTTAGAAGCCACATGGTACTCGCTGCTCGTTAAAACTTTAATATATTTCTTCTTATTATTATTATTCTTTATTTTTTAATTTCTTTTTAATTGAAGTATAATTGACACACAGTTTCCTTAGTTTCAGGTGTACATCATGATTCAGTATTTTTATACATTAGTAAGTGATCTCCATGGTAAACATAGTTATCATCTGTCAACGTGCAAAGTTGTTATGATATTATTGACTGTATTCCCTATGCTATATATTATATCCCCACAACCTATTTATTTCACACCTGGACATTTGCTTGTTAAAACTTTTATGTATTTCAGAAAACCACAGTTTTGGTTACTATCTTGTTTCTATGGTATTTTCCATACATAATAGTGTTAATGTTATTGTCGCTTTATGCACTGGGGATCTGTGTGTTTGTGTCAGCTCCTTGGTAACTAATAAATCGGAATCTTTTTAAAGGTTATGTCTAGAGAAGAGATTTCCACACTGGTTGCTCTACTCAAGAGCTTTATCGGGAGCTGAAGCGGTCAATGCCTTGAGGCCATTCTATTTTGCAGTACATCCAGATTTCTTTGGACAACACCCCAGAGAGAGGGTAAACATTCATTTATTTATTTAACCTTTAGTCCACATTTCAGTTTATTAATTTTTGACACAATATAATACAGAGTTCTATAAATTTGGATTGTTTTGTCATGGTGATAAAGTCAGTGTTTTGAATTAACTTGAAATATATATACTGAAAATTGAAAATATAGCTGTTGGTTTTTTATGAAATCTGAGGGAATGGAAAATATAATATATATACATTGGCTTCTGCCCCCAGTTCCTGGCACAAAGCTCTGAAAACCCTTGTAAATTCCTAAGCTGTAGCAGCACCACAAGCATCTTTTGTTCTGATGACGTGACCTTGGGTGGCCCCTGGAGGGGGCTGGTCCCCAGAAAGACCAAGGCATGATTAGAAGCTTGGAATTTTCAGCCCCAAACCTCACCCTCCAGAGCAGAGAGAAGGGCTGGAAATAGAGTTAAAAACTGATCATGCCTATCTAAGGAAGCCTCCATCAGATTCTAGTAGTATGGGGTGCAGACAGCTTCCAGGTGGGTAAACACATCTACACTAGAGGGTAGTGCTCCCCAACTCTGCGCAGACAAAGGTTCTTGTGCTTGGGACCCTGGGTATCTCTTCACCTGGCTATTTGGATCCCTTACATTCTTTAATGTGGTAAACATGAGTAAGTGTTTCCCTGAGTTCTGTGAGCAGCTCTAGCAAATTGATAGAACCTAAGGAGCGGGGCTGCTGCAAACAGCTGGTTGGTCAGAAGCACAGGCAATAACAGGTGCGACTGGCATCTGACGTATGTGTAGGGGTGGAGGGAGAGGACAGTCTTGTGGGACTGAACCCTTAACCTGCGGGATCTGATGCTGTCTCTGGATGAATAATGTCACAATCGAGTTAAATTGTAGGGCACCCAGCTGGGTGTCACAGAGAATTACTTATTGTGGAGAAAAGCCTCCATCCATTTGGTGACCAGAAGTGTCAGAAGTGAAGTGTTTTGTGTGAATGATAAAGGAGACACACAGGAGCTAGACTGTTTTTCCCTTATATGAAAGCTGTGATTTTTAATCAAGGCTATAAAGCTATCATGGAAACTCTATACACTATTAGTAATGTTTTCTGACCAGTTTTTAGAGTAAAATTGAGTGTTAGAAAATATCAGTCTTCTATGGTCCATCCTTTTGTTAAGGATAGTTACGGGGGTGGGGGGTGCCTGGATGGCTCAGTTGACCATCCAACTCTTGATTTTGGCTCAGGTCATGATCTCAGGGTCGCAGGATTGAGCCCTGTGTTGGGCTCTCACCGAGCATGGAACCTGGTAAAGATTCTCTCTCTCCTTCTGCCCCTCTCCTTGCTCACACTCTCTCTCAGATAAATTTTTAAAAAATTTTTTTAATAAAAACTAAAATGTAAAACAAAAAAAAAGGATGGTTATAAGGAAAGTTTTTTTAGTCCCCTATATGGTTTTCCTTCCTGTTGCATGCCACTGATTCAGATCCCTACAGCTTCACTCATTGTATGTTGCAGGAATGTAAACTGATATGAAAAGTAACTTACAATAAACTTAGTGAGGAGGATTACTATTTTTTAACCTTAGATAGGAATTATTTCATTGGTTCTGCTTATCTTCCTTAACATTAATACCTGGTTTAACATGAAAAGGAATTTAAAACTCTTGAAAATCTAGAACATTATTATATAATTTTTTTCTACTTGTGGAAAAAACTAATTTTGCTTCTTTGCTCTAGGAAAATATTCTGCTTGTGATATTTGATACCTATGTTGGCTACTCAAGGTCACACCCTTTCTAAGTAATTAGTAAAATGAATCAAGTGAAAAATAGTCATTACCTTGGGGATGCTAATTACTTCAAGTTTTTAAACCCAGCACGTATGGAAAAATTAAGCCTAGTAGTTGATGGATGTTTTCCCTCCTCTACTGTAGCAGGACCCTCGCACAGAGAGTCATGACACTGAGGCTTTTCTTTCCAGGAAGCAACTTTATTCCTGCCAGCACCACTGAGTTGGGTTCGTACCCAAAGAACTGAGTCCTGGATGCCATGTGATGTAGTTATTTATTTATTTATTTATTTTTACTTCTCTGTCTCTCATATAGTAACACACAAACATGCAGTCTGATTAAGTGCTCTCATGTTAAGGTCATGGAGGATATTGTCACATACATGTATAGTCAGGTTGCCTTGAGGTTTTTTTTTTTCCTTTCCTAAGGGAGGGGACCCACCCATACTATGAATGTACCTTTTCTTTTCATTGAAACTTCTGTGTGCTCTAAAAGGTGAACTCCGGCAGGCTTAGGTTGCTAAACTCTGCCCATTCCAAAGAAATGCCTGGCTTTGGTCTTGGCCCTTGGCTGCCTCCTAGGAGATATGCTCTGAGCCCTTAGAATATCCTGCCTGCTGGGAATCTTTCGTATGCGTGCGGTCTAGGGCCGTGCTAGTTATTCTGTGCTAAAAATGGGCTTTATGTTGAATGCCTGTTTTCGTAAGTCCAAGGCCCTCTGGGTGTGCTGGAGACTTTGAATAGCTAAAGTCAGTGACACGCACTACCTGCCTGTATGACTGAACCCAGTAAAATGCAAGACACCAAAGCTTGGCTGAGCCTCTTCAGTTGGCAACACTTCTCATGCTTTGTCACATACTGTCGCTGGGGAGTTAACACTAGCTGTACAAATCCACCATGAGAAGACAGCTGGAGCTTTGAACTTGGTCTCTCCTGGACTCCACCATATATGCCTTTCCCCTTTTCTGAGTTTAATCTGTATCCTTTTGCTGTAATAAACCATAACCATAAGTATAACAGTTTCTCTTTTTTTCTTTTAATGTTTATTTTTTGAGAGAGAGAGCACACGCATGTGAGCCACAGAGAGAGGAAGAGAGAGAGAATCCCAAGCAGGTTCCATGCTTGTCAGCTCAGAGCCCAGCACAGGGCTTGATCTCACAAACCATGAGATCATGATCTGAGCTAAAATCAAGAGTCGGATGATTTACTGGCTGAGCCACCTGGGTGCCCCAAACGGCTTTTCTGACTTCTATAAATCAAACCTGAGAGGGTCATGGATAGCTCCAACATAGTATTCCTGAAATGTGATTGTTTGGTAAATTAATATAGCTGACCCTTGAACAATGCAGGGGTTGGGGCAGCAACTCCCTGCATATTCCAAAATCTGTATATAACTTTTGACTCCCCAAAAACTTAACTACTGATAGCCTACTGTTGACCAGATGTCTTACCAATAATATAAACAATTAACACATATTTTACATGTTATGTGTATTATATACTAAATTCTTAAAAATAAGCTAGAGATTATGGAAACCAACTTGACAATAAACTATTTAAAAAAATAAGCTAGAGAAAAGAAAATGTTATTAAATCATGAGGAAGAGGGGTGCCTGGGTGGCTCAGTCAGTTGCACTGAGACTTCAGAGCCCACTTCAGATCCACCTTCTCCCTTTCTCTCTGTCCCTCCCCCTCTTGTGCCCTCTCTCAAAAATACTATTTTTTTAAAAAGGAAATTATAAGAGAAAATACATTTACAGTACTGTATTTATCAAAAAAAAAAGTCCACCCATAAGTGAGCCTCTGCAGCTCAAATCCATGTGGTTCAAGAGTCAACCATATTTTCATTTACTCTTTCACTTGTATTTGAGTCCCTCCCCTGTGCCAGGCCTAGGATCCCAGGTTTTTACTAGGGCTCGGTCACATAGATGCGGCGTGTCCTTTCCTTTCTTGTTGAAGCTTCTCCTTTCATGAGATTCTCCCAGGCAGCCACCCCGCTTCCTTCCCAGCACTCTCTTCCGTGCCCTGCCGTAGTGCTTCTGCGTGTGACCCCATCCCTCACATATTAAACAACTAGCACCAAGAGGCAGTTCACCCTTGCTGGCACCACACATGCAGTCTGATCTCCTCTGCTCTTGTGCAGGACACCCTGTCCCTTTTCTAGGGAAGCCATCTAGTCAGCAGCAGGCCAGGGTCTCAAAGTGAAGCAGTTATTGTTAATCCTCTTCATTTTATTTTTTTTTTAATGTTTTATTTGTTTCTGAGATACAGAGAGAGACTGCATGAGCAGGGAAAGGTCAGAGAGAGAGGGAGACATGGAATCAGAAGCAGGCTCCAGGCTCTGAGCTGTCAGCACAGAGCCCGACGCGGGGCTCAAACCCACGAGCCGTGAGATCATGACCTGAGCCTAAGTCCGCCCAACCAACTGAGCCACCCAGGCGCCCCAATCCTCTTCATTTTAACTCCATTTTAAAATCTACAAAACATTTCTAGGTTTCAGAAAGCAAAACTAAATTCAAAGCGGACTCAGAAGTCTCACTCCTGTGCCTGTTTCCTTTATCTCATTCCTATTAACTTCCTGTAGACCACCATTTTTCTTAGTTTCTGGGTTGTTCTGTCTGTTTCTTTTTGGCAAAAATAAAAACTTGTAGCAAAACATGATTATGAAGATTTAGTCTTAGCAGGAAACGTACCTTAGCCCACTGGACTGCCACAGCTAAGAACAGCATGTTATAATAAAATTAAACAGACAGAGAGGGGTGCCTGGGTGGCTCAGTTGGTTAGGTGTCTGACTCTTGATTTCGGCTCAGGTCATGATCTCACAGTTCATGAGTTTGAGCCCCCCATCGGGCTCTGTACTGACAGCATGGAACCTACTTGGGATTCTTTCTTCCCTCCCCTGTCTCTGCCCCTCCCCTGCTCACAAGCTCGCTCTCTCTCAAAAAAAAAAAAAAAAAATCAAACAAAAATAAACCATTCCTAATTTCAGAATTGACAATGCATCTGAGAAGAAACCTATAGTGATAAGAAGCATGGTTAGTATTTATGCCATTCTGTAGAGCTGTTCCTTCACAAAAGGATGTTTCTGTTTTCACTTAATAACCTTGGAAATAATTCCATGTCAGTTCCTAGACTTCTACACCGCATTCTTTCTCTCCCTTCTTTTTAGCTGTATAGTAGTACTCTATTGAATGAATGTACTAAAATGCAACCAATCTCCTCCAGGTGGTCATCTTAAGAGCCCTTTACAGAGAGAAATAACTTGAAAATATTTTCTCTCAAGTAGCTTATTTATATATAAATTGCTCTGGGGGGGGGGGTTGTGATATTTTTAAGTTTCTTAATTTTCATGTAATTGGATTGATCAGTCCTGTATCAGCTTGAGACTTAGTCATAGTTAGGCTTTTTCCACACCAATGATATAAAGGAATTCGCTTATGCAATTACTTTTTTTTTCACATTTTAGCCTTAAGGAGTCTGTCTGTTACATGTTACGAGGTGTGGATCCAGTTTTATTCTTCACCAAAGAGCTATGAAATCCCAACATTTTTAACACTAAATTATTTAATACTAATTATATAATACCCTCAATAATGTGTTTAAAGGTCAGGATTAATTGTTTCCTTATTCTATTTTGTGTGTAAATGCCCGTTTGTTTTTTTTCCAGGAAGTCAATGAAAATTCTCTTAAGAGATTAAGTGTCTACTTGGAAAACCTCCAGAAACCAGGCTTCAAGTCTTTGAAACCAACTCAGCTTACATTTTATGTGAGAGAAACAGAGCAGAACGCCTCTGAAGGCCAGGAGCCCTTTAGCACATCCGGTATGTTTTCTCATTTCTAGCCCTTGTGAGCTTCGTGATAAATCTGTTCATTAAATGTGCTGTTGCCAGAATACCTTTGGATTGAAGCCTTGGTCTTAAAAATAATAATAATAATAATAATAATATTTCATTGATTGTTTTCCTAGAATTAAGATTCTATTCCTGGCTAACTGTGTTTGAACAAGCCATTTTTGTGTTTAAACTTTTTTGTATGTAAAACTGAAATGTTCCTATTTGTCCACTTCCTTTTTTTCTTTAATTTTTAAATGTATTTTTTTTTGAGAGAGAGAGAAAGAACACAAGAGGGGGAGGGACACAGAGAGAGGAAGACAGAGAATCTAAAGCAGGCTCCACACTGTCAGCACAAAGCCCACTGTGGGGCTTGAACCCCTGAATCATGAGATCATGACCTGAGCCAAAGTCAGATACTCAACTGAGCCACCCAGGTGCCCCCTTAAAAAAATTTTTTTTGGGGTGCTCCTGGGTGGCTTAGTCGGTTAGGCATTTGACTTCAGCTCAGGTCATGATCTCTGTGAGTTCAAGTCTCTGTCCTGACAGCTCAGAACCTGGAGCCTGCTTCAGATTCCGTGTCTTCCCCTCCCCTGCTCATGCTCTGTCTCTCTCTGTCTCTCAATAATAAATAAAAATATTTAAATTTTTTTTTAATTTTCTAATCTTTTCGTCCACTTCCTATTTCAGTGTTAACTGTTAAACGTGTCTATAACAATTTACATTTTTTAAAGTACAGCCTATAATCCCTTATTTTGTCCTCAAAGTACTCTGAAGTAGGTAGTATTTGCTCAAATAAATTGGTACTGTGCAGGATTTTGCCAGAACTGTGGAGACGGAATATGGATCTTGAACTTAGGCCTTTCAACTCCAGCTTTAGGCTCTTTTTACTTATTTTTTTAAGTGTTATTTATTTATTTTGAAAGAGAGAGCAAGAAGGGGAGGGGCAGAGAGGGGGAGAAAGAGCAAGAATCCCAAGCCAACTCCACGCCGTCAGCATAAGCCTGATGCAGGGCTTGGTCTTTGGAACCAAAAGATCATGACCTGAACTGAATTCAACAAACTGAGCCACACAGGTGCCCTTTGGGTCTTTAAATCAGTCTTAATACACAGCCTTCTTTTAATCCTTTGTTGCTGTTTTAGTCCAGATACAGAAATACTTTAAGGGCAAGTACAGATCTGTATTTTCTCTAAATATAGATCGTTTTGGTGATCCTTGAGGAAATAACTTTATTTTTAGAGTGAACTTTAAAATAATTGTAAGGTTTACCGGGACCTTTCTATGAGTTAAGGTTAAAACAATTAGAAAATGCACTATAATTTTTTTTGAAACAAACTATTATAAAGATCAAGATGTCATCATTTTTGGGACCTAGACTCTCTTTCTTGGTCTGCCAGTGACTAGCTGTGTGACCTCTAGTTCCTCATGACTAAAATGAAAGAGGTGAAGTACTGTGTGTAAGTACTGCAGCATTCGCAGGGAACACACCTGCCGTTTACCTAGGGCTCACAAGGCCCTCGGGCTCCTGCATGGAGTGAGGAGGAAAGTGTAAAGCAGGATATTCATGCTGAAAAGCCACTTCCTACCCAGTCTCTCCAGGAGTGAACATTTGATCTTGTATTTTCTCTTTGTTTTCTTACTCTCTTCATGTTTGAATGTAGGAGATCAGAATCAAATTCCTAGTCTCTTTCTCCGTCTACCTCTGATTTGGGAGTTTTACTTTAAAAAAGACACTATTCTTCCTTATCCAGCGATAAAAAGTCAACTCAGTCCTATTGTGAAAGCACAGCCCTACCGAAGAACGCTGTTAATGATAATAGCAGTAATAGCAGTAATTATGTTTATCACTCTAAATGACACATTTCCGTTTGCAGTTGTAAGTAATCATTATAAACGTGCTGTTCTCAGTCAGCTGAAATACATTCTTTGATAGTGCAAAACCAAGTATTCATAAATCCTCTTTATAGATACACAGTCAGGATTAGGCTAGGAATTGAAAAACCTCATACTTCTGCATAGTTATCTACTTAGAGTTTATGATTTCCCCATGTCAGATAGAATTTGTAAAGGCAGATTAAGCCCTTTACAGTTTTTAAAACAATATTATCACCATTCAGTTTATATTTGTCTGGGTTTGGGCGAGTTGGGCTCATTTTGAAGTCATTGCTGCTTTCACTACAGCCATTAACTGGGTTTATCTTGAATGTTCACCTCACATGGAGTTAAAGAATGAACCAGGTCTACATGGTGCCTGGGTGGCTCAATTGGTTGAGTGCCAACTTTGGCTCAGGTCATGATCTCATGGTTCGTGAGTTCGAGCCCCACGTCGGGCTCTGTGCTGACAGCTCGGAGCCTGGAACCTGACTTCAGACTCTGTGTCTCTGTCTCTCTCTGCCCATCCCCCACTTATGCTCTGTCTCTCAAAAATAAAAATTTTAAAAAGAATGAACCACATCTGTTTGTTAGAGAAGAAGCAAACAGAGAGCAAACTCAGAAACTTGGGAAGTTTCACACAGCAAATTAGGGACAGAGGTGGTACTAGAACTAGTGCCTCCTCATTCTTAGTCTGATGTTGTGATTTATATTTTACGTTATCTATTCCTCTAAAAATTTTGTTAGTAATTATTTTTGCCTCTACCTTTATGACGGAGTCTGGAAATCTGACAAGTATTTAAAAGATTTTGATGTTTTTAACCTTTTTATCTTAATTATAAAATTAAAATCATTGATAATTAAGGTAACAAGGTAAACTGTTTACTATTGATTTTCAGTACTGAAATTAAAGGCCTGAATCATTTCTTTAGCTCTGCATCTTTTTCGTGGCCTATGAGGAAATAAACTTCATTAAAGCAAGAGGAAGAGTTACTAGGAGCTTTCTGTGAGTTAATGCTAAAACAAGTAAGGGGTGCCTGAGGGGCTCAGTGGCCAAATGTCCAACTCTAGATTTCGGCTCAGGTTATGTTCTCAAAGTTGGTGAGATCAAGCCCTGCATTGGCATCAGGCTCTGCACTGACAGCCTGATCCTGCTTGGGATTCTTTCTCCCTTTTTCCTTTCCCTCTTTCTTTCCGTCTCTCTCTCTCTCTCTCAAAAGAAATACTTTTGAGAAAAATAAACTTTTATAAAGTTTTCTCTTTTGAGAAAAATAAACTTTTATAAAAAAGCTAAAACAAGTCAACAGTGACTAAGTAGCAACAAAAGTCCTCTGCTTTTTTTTTTTTTTTAATGTTTATTTTTGAGAGAGAGAGAGACAGTCTGAGCAGGGGAAGGGATAGAAAGAGAGGGAGACACAGACTCTGAAGCAGGCTGCAGACTCTGAGCTGTCAGCACAGAGCCCAGTGTGGGGCTCGAACCTACAAACCATGAGATCATGGCCTGAGCTGAAGTCAGACGCTTAACCTACTGAGCCACTCAGGCACCCCAGGAAATACTAGATACAAATAGCTAACAAACATTAAAATGTATAGCTTCTGTAGTCCAAACTAAACTAATTATGTGCTGTTTTCAGATTAAAGCATATGTGCAGTCTGATATAGGCATTCCTCACTATAGCAGTCCTTACATTGCAATAAATAATTGATGGGACTGATAAGATAGAAACTGAGATTTATTCCTGACAAGTCTTCTGAGGATCTGTTCCTTGACTGAGCTCTTCCTTCCCTCAGATGCAGGAATTAAGGACTTTATTCTTTACTAACGAGAACAACTCTCCTGCCAGTATTTCTCACTTTACATTCAAATGATTGAACTAAAAACTTCTTAGTTTGCATGTCCTGGGTTCCTTAAGTCTGTGTGTCAAGAAAAGCATGTATCTCTGAGAATGACTGAAACTCTAGTATCTGCCATCAGTGGCCATAATAAGAAAATACATTTCAGCTTTATATGAAAAGTGAACAATTAAAAAAAATTTTTGTGTCCATCAGTTTCAGAAGTGTTAAATAAAAATTGCACTACCTCCATTATATGGACTGGTATATATAGCTGCTAAAAAGAATAAGTTAATCTATACATACAGACATTGGTTAAGTAACAAAAGCAAGTTCAGAGTAATATATCTAGATTGTTGCTATTTCTGTATTAAAAAGAAACAATTCAAACTACATATATGTGTTTGTGTAAACAACTATGAGTATATATCACAGGTAATATACACACATAAGCACATAGAAAAGGTCTAGGCAGTGCTGTCCAGGAGAATTCTCTGTAATGCCTTCAGTGTTCTGTATGTGCACTAATATGGCAGGCACTAGTCCCATGTGACTGTTGAAATGTGGTTAATGTGACCAGGAACTGCATTTTAATTTTATTTTATTTTGATTAATTTAATTATAAACTGTCTTATAGGGTTAGGAGCTACCGTATTAGACAGTGCAGGTTAACTAGGGGTGCCTGGGTGGCTCAGTTGGTTAGACGTCTGACTTCAGCTCAGGTCATGATCTCACGGCCCGTGAGTTCGAGCCCCACGTCAGGCTCCGTGCTGATGGTTCAGAGCCTAGAGTCTACTTCAGATTCTGTGTCTTCCTATCTCTCTATGCCTCTCCTCTGCTCATGCTCTCTCTCTGTCTAAAAAATAAAAAATAAATAAACATAAAAAAAAATGGTTAAGTCTAGTAAAGATGTGAGGCTATATGCCTGTTAACAGACTTTAATTTTACTGTATGTATCTGTAATTTCACAGTGAGGATGTACTTATAAAATAATTGTATAATTTTCAAGTCTAAAAATACTTTAAAAAAAAAAAAGAACAAAGAGTCAGTGTTAGGGTGGTATAATGGAGAAGAAAATGCTGGGCTTGGAGTCAACTCAGATTTAAGCCCTTTCTCTGTTTTCCAAACCTCCTTGAACCAGATTTCTTCACATTTGAAGAAAGATAATAGTGACACAGTTGGTGATGATGTTGAGAAGTTACATAAATTCAGCTAGAACCATGCCTAATCCCCCCCAGTAATGAAGAAAAGAAAAAATAGAGATTTCCTATTGCAGATGTAACATGTTAGATTACTGACCTTATCTCACTGACGACCCAAAATCAAAGTCAGATGGTAAAGCATTAACTTTTACACAATTAGGGAATTTTACATCACTTCCAAAAATATTGAGTTACTAGGTAGTCAAGTGGACAGGTAGGAAGATGGCCTCCTGTACTCAGAAAATTCGAGACAGGTTTCTGTCACCCCTGTATATAGACCACTCCCATTTGAACCGTTGTCACAGTAAAACCTCCCCATTCTTCCATCTCTCCTCCTTTGTCTTAGTGCTAGAAAACATCTTTCATGGATACTTGCTCATAGGAGAGCTTTTCCGTTCTAGACTGTAGAGGCCATATTTATGGGCAGCATTGAAAATATTCTGAATCCCCTCCTTGGGCTGGAATGAGTTTGGTCTCTAGTGCCAAACTAGAAAGAGAACTGACAGGAATTCATGAAGGTAAAGATACTATGGTAAAGTTTCAGAGAAGAGTAGTTTTCCATTTACAGAAATGTACAAAATGTACATCCATTTTGCCAGTAGGATGGATTTTAAGCAGTGATCAAATGTTTTAAAAGGTTCTGATTTTATTAATGTTGCATGAAAAATTATTTTTAAATAAAATGAATAATCATCTGTATTAATTGTTTGGGGGAATTATATTCTCTAGGATTTCGAGCAGTCAAATTTACTTTGCACACCAGAGATCTGCTAAGCACAGTATTGTATATTCTCAACTCCTGCAGTTTATCTGTTGAACATATCCAAAGCTTGAATTCTAATGTGTATTCCCAGCCTCTCAAAGAGGCTAAAAGGATGTCTGACAGGCCCATCAAGTGGGACAAGTCTTATTACTACTTTACTGGATTCAAGGACCCTCATGAAGACCTTGAACAAGTCTCAAGAATGGAAACAACCCTCACGTATGTAAAAGTTCTTATTTAATTAAACTTATTTGTAGTTCATGTTTAAAGTTACAGTCTAATTTTTCAGGAAAAATAATTCTGTGAATATAGTTAACCCAGTGACCAATATGAAAAAGATAGTTCACACTTCTTAAAGTGGCCAGAATACTTCCAAATGTATTTAATTTGTGGTCTTTTGATGCCAAACAAATGCAGGAAGTTGTTTTAAATTTTAAAAATTCTACTCCTCACAGTTACCCCTGGTATATGGAGAAAGGATATATATATCTAAGACTATAAAAAAAGATTAGGAGGTGCCTGGGTGGCTTAGCTGGTTAAGTGTCCTACTTCAGCTCAGGTCATGATCTCACAGTTCGTGGGTTCGAGCCCTGCGTCAGGCTCTGTGCTGACAGCTAGCTCAGAGCCTGGAGCCTGTCTTCGGATTCTATATCTCTCTCTCTCTCTCTCTGACCCTCCCCTGCTGGCGCTGTCTCTCTCTGACTCTCAAATAAAAAACATTAAAAAAAATTTTTTTTTAAATATTAGGCTTCTTCATGTAAGCATTTCTAGTTTCTTCACATGGTTTAGGAGTAATGTTCTTTAGTTTAATAGTCCATACATAATAAAAATGCATGGAGACTCTCAGCTATAAAATAAACTAGTCCTAGTGATGTAAAATACAGCATGGGCACTATGGTCAATAATACTGTATCGTGTATTTGAAAGTTGCCAAAAGAGTAGATCTTCAGGTTTTCATCACATGAAAAACAGTTTATAACTATGTATGGTGATGGCCATTACCTAGACTTAAGTAAGTGTAAGTGTAATATATGCTAATTAGTATAATATACACTAATATCATTATGCTATATACATAAAACTAATGTTATATGTCACTTATCTAATTTTTTTTAATATTTCATCTGGAATGTATTAAGAAAGAATAACTTTTAGTTATAAAAACCATGTATGAAATATTTCTCTGTAATTTATCTTGTTTATAAAGTCACCGTTAATGTTTTTTAAGTAAGTCTTTTGTGGACTCCATAAAGACCAGCAATATTCTGCTCCAGTGGTTGTACCTAAAGATTCCACGCCTTACCAGAGGATTCTCCTTCTCACAACATGGTAGATTATCCTTAATCTTCCACTGGCAGAGCACTTGCCTTGTAGATGACCTGTCCCATTAGCTAATTAGATTCCAAGCAAGGCTGAAGAGACAAGTAGCAGAGTCTGGTACAAAGGGAGACAAGTATCTGCCTGAAGACATATCTGTACATGTCTGTGGTGAAGGGGTGTCTCCGATCTGTCTGTATGTGTAGCTAATAGGTATATCACCTCCCTAAATATGTGGATTTTAATTGTTCAGATTTTCTTTGTAAATAAAACCAAGATGAAAATGTGGCTATGGGATGTTACTTTAATGATAGACCAGCAGTAATGAAGATAGTAAGAAGTAGGGATAAGAAAAAAAAATGAGCAGTCATGGTAGGATATAAAGTGTTGATTTAGAATAAAAAGTTTAAAAAAATAAAAGAGATGATTGAAGGTGAATTGTGTGCAGAGGTTACAATGGAAGTCAAGTAGATTGATGTGCCCTTGAGCCGCTTCAAGCCCCTTTGAGCCCCTTCAAACCAGTCTTGACCTTCTCCCAAAAACAGATAATTGCCCACTTTGAAGGAATTGTAGAGAGGGCTGGTTTTATGTTAGTTTTTCCCAGTAAGGATTCCAGGAGATTTTATCCTAAAAGCCAGAATGGTATCTGTATCAATTTTTGCTTCAATTATTAATGTTTTTAATTAGTAGTTATTTTAAAAATAATTACAAAATTGTTGAACCATTTTAAAGCTTTCAACTCATGAATTGAGTGACACTGCTTGATAAGATTTAGGGTACCTATAACTCAGCCAAAACTTCTTGACCACCATGGTCATTTTGGCCATCTTCAAGTTTTTATTTGTATTCTTGTATTGTTTAATTTCATCTTATATATATGTAAATTGTAGAAAAGGAATCAGAAAGAGCACATGCTAAATTATATGGTCAGAAGGAGCATCAAATTTACATCAAACTGATATTCACTTATTATATTCACCTGATCAAAATCATCTTGGGAAACATGTTAAGATACTTCTAGTATTAAAAAGAGAGGATATAGTAGCAATGTTATTTAGTGTAGACTTTTAATTTTTTCAATAATTTTGTTTTTGTTAAGAAGTACAGGCTGAAATAGTCTCTACTTATTGTGAATAAAACACAAATTATGCAAATAAATCAGTTGGGATTTTTTTAAAATAGAAGAATTATCAGGTCGTAAAAGCTCCATTTAGTCTGTTTTCGTATTACATCTGGTAATTATATTTCATTCCACAAATTTGGGACATGCTGTGTAATTCTGCATTTCTTAACAAACTGTGCTTTATCTTACTTCAAACTCATTTTACTATATAACCATATAAAAAGAGTAAAATTAAATTTTTAATACCTCAGGAGTTTTCTTTAATTATATACTGTACTAGGAATTTACCAGTATCAAAAAGATTAGGAAATGCCACTCCATGCTGTAGATTTAGTATGTTCATATTTTGAGTATGTTCTCTTGATTATCAAATAGTATTATAACAAAAATGAATTTAATTACATAATTTGTATTTGGAAGGAGCCAACAGGATCCATTTCTGTCTAAACAAAATAATCCCAGGGGCACCTGGACGGCTCAGTCAGTTAAGTGTCCAATTCTTGATTTTGGCTAAGATCGTGATCTCAAGGTTCATGGGTTCGAGCCCCTTATCGGGCTGTGTGCTGACAGTGTAGAACCTGCTTGAGATTCTCACTGTCTCCCTCTCTCTCTACCCCTCTCTCTTTTTCTCTCTCCCTCTCTCTCAAATAAACTTTTAAAACAAAATAATCCCGTATGTAATATCTTTCCCAGTGAGAAAACATAAACTGTAAAAAGACCATTGAAATGCTATTCTAGCAGATCTGGAATGCCAATAAATGTCAGACTTCTGTTTTCTCCATTAATATTTTGCTTATTTATAGGCTAAGTCAGTGCTTTTCAAATTGCAAGTCATAACACAGTTTAGTGATTTGGGACCAGCAAAGTTGCTTTACATTCTTCCTTTTTAACATTTTTTAGGTATATGTTTTCAGTAACTTTAAGTGGTGTTTCTCAAAATACTTTTTTGAGTTATATGTAAACATATGTGTATATGCATATGTGTGTATACTGAGTCTCCATTTAAAATCTCTTACTGTGGGTTGCCATCAGAGAAGTTTGGAAAGCTCTGGTGTAAATGCCATGTAGTTCCATGTAGTTTGAAGCCTAGGAGTTTGAAATTTTTGCCATTTTAACTTTACTGCAATGTGGATCATGGCTGTCCTTTCCATCCTCTTAAATCCATGAAAAACTGAACTTCTCTTGAGTTACTGAAATCTTTTTATCTCAGAAGAATCATTAGCTTAAGAACTAAACCAAATGTCTCTTCAATTTGCAGTCTGATTTTAGACTCAGTACATGATATTCCTGTATTCGTTTTTATATATCACTTCCCTGTGACTTCATTTCATTACCAGCATTTTTTCTCTTTCCCTGCATCTTATAACAATATATGTTTTATATTCATCATTATAAGTATACAGAAATCATTTTTGGAACCAACACAAGGTCTAACAAATTAACTACCGTGAGATACCACTTCATAGCCTAGGATGGTTATAATCAAAAGAAAATAACAAGTATTGGGAAGGATGTAGAAAAAAACATGTCTAATAAAAACTTGTTTATAGCAGCATTATTCATAACAGCCAAAAAGTGGAAATAACCCAAAGGTCCATCAACTGATGAACGGATAAACAAAGTGTGGTATATTCACACAATGAAATAGTATTTGGCCATAAAAACAAATGAAGCACTCATACATGCTACAGTTGGATGAACTTCGAGAACATTATGCTAAGAGAAAGAAGTCATCACAGTGGATCACATACTGCATGATTCCATCCATGCGAAACGTACGGACTTGGCAAATCTGTGACACAGGAAGTAGATTAGTGGTTGCTTGCAGCTAGAGGGGAGTTCTGAAGTAACTGCTAAGAGGTACATGATTTCTTTTTTTTTTTTTTTTTTTTTAGTTTATTTATTTTTAGAGAGAGAGAGCAGGGGAGGAGCAGAGGGAGAATCCCAAGCAGGCTCCGCACTGTCAGCACAGAGCCCCATGCAGGACTCAAGCTCAGGAACCGTAAGATCATAACCTGAGCTGAAATCAAGAGTCAGATGCTTAACCGACTGAGCCACCTAGGCAGTCTGCTACATGATTTCTCATTAGGGTGATGAAAGTGTCCCAAAATTGCTTGTACTGGTGATTGCACAACTCTGAGAACATACACTACATGTATGGTATGTGTGTTACATTTCAATAAAACTTTTATTTATTTTTTAACTTAAATTCCAGTTCACATACAGTGTAATACTAGTTTCAGGGTCCAGTTCACATACAGTGTAATATTAGTTTCAGGGGTACAATTTAGTGATGCAATACTTCCATGCAATGCCCAGCGCCCTCCTTAATCGCCATCAGCTATTTAACAGTCTGGTAACCATATGTTCTGTGTAGTTAGGAGTCTGTTTCTTGGTTTTCTTCTCTCTCTTTTTTTCCCCTATGATAGTTTATTCTGTTTTGTAAATTTCACATATGAGTGGTGTAGTATGGTATTTGTCTTTCTCTGACTTATTTCACTTTCTAGTTCCATCCACATCATTGCAAATGATTTCTGGCTGAATAATCCATTTAAGTTTATTTATGTATTTTGAGAGAGAGAGAGCAATGAGCAGGGGAGGGGCAGAGAGAGAGGATTCCAAACAGGCTCTGCACTGTCAGCTCAGAGCCTGACATGGGGCTTGATCCCACAATCAGTGAGATCATGACCTGAGCAAAAATCAAGAGTCTGATGCTTAACCTACTTAGCCACCCAGGTGTCCCTACACCATGTCGTCGTCGTCGTCTTCTTCTTCTTCT